AAAAATCAATCCGAATTATAGGCAATTAAGTTAATAACAATCATACAATCATAACAATCAATGTGATTTGCGAATTGCTTTTGTGACGTGTTAATCACTGTCGTTATTTTGACAGCTTAGTGTCCACTATTGACACAACTGTCCATCAAATATTTGCCGAAGTTATAAATGTTTAAACGAATGACGAAAATCGATTAAAATGCCAAGTCAAAGTTCTTACCTGAATGACTTGCATCAAACACAACAAAGTAAACAATGAAAATGTAAATACATACATATACACATACACATATTATAAATATATGGTAAATGGGTTCAGCAAGTGAGCGTTTGTATGCATGCAATTTCGCATTAAACGAAAAGTGAAAATGCGCGCGCAACTCGTGTGTAAGTCAAAGCTGAAACGGAGCTTGTTATCGAAATGAAGAGAGAAAAAAAAGAAGTAATTACAAGCAAGAAATAAATTGCTAGTAAAAAAGAACAGTTATTTGAAAAACTTCGAGTAGCAATGCGTAAAGCTTAAGCGACCAGGCAGAGTCATGCATTGCGCTTAGCAAGCGCACGGCTGCGAATTTCGAAGGCGAGCCCGCTTGGCCTCAATGTTGTTGATGGTGGCAGCGGTGGCGTTGCGCGCTGCACTGCACCGGTTTGTAACGGCGATGACGATCCACGTGAACAACGGAACACATTTCGTCGCTTCCTGTTGTTGCTTGACTCTCTACATTTATACGTGCGTCGCTTGATGCACCACTCCCTGCTGGGTTTTTGGTTGACCAAGCGTATTTTTTGCGAATTTATTTTGCACTTTTTTTGACTTCTGATACCCACGCGTATTTCTTAAATTTTTTACTTGCATTAATTTCGTTTTGTTGCTACTTTTGCATTATATCAATTTCTCCCTTACGAAGTTCATGCAACGCAATGTCATCAGCAGCAGCGGTGGCAGGAAAGCAAGTTGCATTCGCCTGGCAGCTTGTTCTGGTTCGGAACATTTTTTTTTTTTATTCATTCATTTTATACATTCTTTGTTTTTTGTTTTTCGTTCGGCGCATTTTAATCTTTATAACTGTACTTAAATTTGCAGTTATGCAAACGTGTGCTGCTGCTGTGCGCATTTAATTCACAAATAAAATTCACGGCGACTTGGTGCGACATGCGATTACAAAAATGAACAAAAAAGACTTATAAGACAAACGGCGGTGCAGCTGCGCTGTGGAGGCGCATGACTGACTACCATTTGTGCGAAATTTCTCGTACATCGGGACAATGAAAGTGCGCGTCGTCGTCGTCGTCGACGACGGAAAGCGGCCAAAGGCGAGATTGTAATGAGCATGAACCGATCACAATATGCAGATTGTGTGCACAATGCCGATGAATAGCCGTTTTTTTGGTGTTGCTGACTGTGTTGGCGGCAGCTCAATATCAAATAATGGAGATTTATTAATTTTTTCTTCGTGTACACTTTTTCGGAACACAATGTAGCCGATGGTATGTAATAAATCTGCGCGACGACACACGACGGGAGATTTAAATTTCATTATCATAATTGTTGCATTTTGCGTGTGTGTATTTGTATAGAACGGCGAACAAGTTTGTTCAAGCAGAAGACGGTAAGATACATCTTCCTAACTGACTCTGACAGAGTTTACATTAAATTTAGTGACTCTCGAAAAAACTGCTGTGTTTTGCGAATTCCTCATTTAGCAACTAGACTTTCCAGTTACTGTTATCACAAATAAGTATGCATATATACAGACATATATACTAGGTAGTAAACAAATCGGTGCCTGTTCGATTCCGACCTAAAAAATTGGCTTCAAAACCCTTCAATTCCCGGCTACAAATAAGTGTGTTTCAGGCAGAACCAGGGATGGAGGGATGGGACAAGTTTTTAATTCCTTTGCCAATTAAAATATAAAAATCTTTAAAGCATTAGTCTTCAGTTAAGGAACGCACCCTAAATCATATCAAGCTTAGTTTACTCTGATGATACTGATCAAAGCTAGTCAACTACCTAGCAGTCTATAAATATATTTGGGGAATATTTTAAGTCGCCACAATAACAAACGCCAACCGACCTGATATGTATATCTGATCTACTGCATCTTGTATTTTCTTTTCTACAATTGCTAAACAACTCTATTACTAATGGCTCAAACAGTCACCGACGCAAAACCGTGGACCGAATCAGCTGATACGACCCATCTTATGAGTGCGCAATATAAATGAACAGTCAACACCGCTTCTACGGTCCGCTTCAACAGACCCTTACGGTAGGATATCGGCGAAAATTGGATGAGCAACGCAGGGTTGCCAATCTCGATATTTTGTAGTAATTAAAAAATGAACTTGAATATAGAAATATTCTTAAAATAACTCAAAATCACATTCGAATACACTTATTTATAAATAGGTTATTTAGTAGCCTATGATACGTAGGCAGTTGCCATGCATAATGTAAATTTTGGTAGACGATTATCTAGCGGCTACTACACTGGTTGCTCCACATAATAAAGGTGTAAAACGGTAAAGGAGTCAAGTAAGAGCCTTCTGGAAGAAAGACGATGAGACTTTTGTAATAAAATATCTGTGGCAAACATATACCTATCGCTGCCACAAGAGCGGCGAGTTATATTTATACCCTGAACAGGGTATATTATGTTTGCCACGAAGTTTGTAACACCCTGATGGAAACGTCGAAAACTGTATAAAATATGTTTGTCTGTCCGTCTGTCTGTATATATATAAACTAGTCTCACAGTTTTTAAGCTATCGATCTGAAATTTTGCAGCTGTCCTTTTCTCACTAAGAAGCTGCTCGTTTGTCAGAACCGCCGATATGGGACAAGTACTTGTATGGGAAACTTTTTGACTTGACGAGGTATCTTCACGAAATAAGGCAGGAGTTATTGTTTAAGGCAACAATGTATTCTCCAAAGAAATTGTTGAGAACAGATCACTATATCATATAGCTGCCATACAAATTGAACGATAGGAATCCATTGCTTGTAAGGAGCCTTTGTATTTGTGAAGGGTCTTATAGCTTCGATGCAACCTTCCTTTAATATCTAGCAATCGCTTATTCTTTCAATTGGAAAATTATCAGTGATTTGTACCTATATACTACTTCTCTCATTTGCATTCCTCAATCAAAAACTAATCTATAGCTAATTGAAGTCTTCGGAAGAAAGATGTCCTGCTTCTGCGATACTCAATTGAATTAAATTTGCTTATGAGAAACAGCAATTCTCACACTTGAGGCAAGAAACGGAAAGAAAAAGATCACAAAACTTGCCACTTGTCGACACGAATCTGTCGGAAAACCACATTTATGGGTATAAACAACAATAAAAAAAAATCAGCCCAAAAACAACAACCGCAGCGTTATCGCGCACAGTTGCATGTTGGAAATTGAGAAACTGACGAAGAACTGGTTGAAAGCATTACGAGCACTGGCTGTTAGCCGCCACTTAGCAATAACGGTGCAACGTGGTGCAATTTTGCAGTCGCTAGCGGCTAAAAAAACATAACAACAATAACAAGAAACTGCTAAAACAACAAAGTTATTAACTCAAGAGACAAAAACAAAAACCAACAACATAATAAACACGAATTTCCTGCTCAACAGCAATCGCTCTGGCTGCCACACGTTGCAGCTGCACGCATTTGAGTGCATTATTGTACACACACACACACACACACACAGATAAACAAACAAAAAATTGCAGCAGCAGCTAATATTGCGGCTAAATGCGCTGTAGTGGCAAGCGATGGGTATGCATATTGCAAATGCGTAGCAACACAAGATTATTTCGCTGCAACAGCGAAGCAAAAATTCCAATGTATTGTTGCTGGTAGTGTGCCAGGCGTTGCAGGATGACGAGTGCAGTGCCCACGAAGACAGGTTGTTGCTGTGGCAGTCGGTCTGATTTGGTGGCCAAGGCTACAACGCGTATAACTAAGCAGGCACTAACATGGCGGCCGAGGCATGCAACACGGTTAAGTTGTTGGCTGCTTGTTGCACTTGTTGTCGTCGTATTGCAAGTTTGACTGCATTTGAGTATTTGTTTTGTTGCTTTTTTGTTCCATTTGTATCTTGGCGTTGTGCACAGCGGAGCCTTCACTGTCGCTCCACGTTGCGTGACACCGCCTGTGGCATGCTATGAAAACCGGTTTCTGCAACGTTATTTCGTGTACAATCATGCTACATACTGCATTTGGCCGTGGCACTGAATGCGGCCATGATTTTATTGCGTGCTTTTGTTGCAGCGCAGCAAGCAGCCGCAGCAGCAACAGTCGCTACCGAATTGCAACGAGTTGTCAGTTGGTTGTGGCACATTTTTCAGTGGTAGCTGGTGACTTTACAAACAATTTGTTGTGTGCGCAATTAATTGGCTTGTGTTATTAGTTGGCATATTTTACGTTTATGGAATTTGATTTACGAATGCCACATGTTGCCGCGGCTACACTAATTGCAACATTAAGCAAATTATAATAATTTAAGCCTTTATCGAAATTTGAGTTATGATTTATCGTACCGTACTAACTCAAACACTAAGTGGGCGGAAGGCGAAGAACTGCTGTAAGGGTTGCCAAATTTTGTAATAGCAGCAATTTTATTGATTCAGCATGCACTTGGGTAACTGCAAGATCGTTCCAGTCTAGAGTATAAACCAGGAGATCTATTTCAGCTCTTGTCCTCACCAAGGTTAATCTTGCCCTATAAGCACACAGATTACAAAATTGTGACGTAGGCAAATCGGAAAATTGTCTGAAAAACAGCGATGTAGAAATATCTCGACAGTTCAGCTTTTGTTAGTTGGAGGTTGTAATATCTTGGGTTCCATACCTCATACATCAAAAATCAAAAAATTGTTGTAAGAGTTTTTTGCTAGTGTGAAGAATGGTCGCCGCAATTAGCATCGAAATCTGAACTAATCTAACGTGAATAATACACGCTTACACAAGACCTAAACGAAGCAAAAAATGTCTGGCCCTGACTTTTATTACTTTTTCTAACCATTTTAATTCATTAGTAAAGGGCACTTGATACATTCTGTATTATACATTTTATACACAACTTATTAATAATTCATTCGCCTCGAAATTTTCACAATACAGTTTTACAATTATCATTGTTGTGCTATGCTACGTGCCGTTCGGCAGTGGTAAGTTAATATGAGCAAATCATACAGTATCGAGCATGTATCTATGAGTTGCAACTGCTGCACCATTAGCGGCATTGCACTTATTGAAAATTTCACGATGCGGCTGGAGCCAGGCTTTCGAATACACACAATTATACAGACTACATATTCGCAGACGGTTCTTGTTTCACGGAAAATGGTTCACATTTCTGTGCTTGAAAATTCCATATGTCAGTCGAACCTGCAACCTGAGCAAACTTTTATTAAACTGCACCATGACAAACGTTTATCTGAATTTTGTACAGATGTCCACTTTAAGCTTACATTTCATTGCCTTTGACCAGCTTACTCCTATATTTAGACAGGAAAATATACAAGCATATATTTTCAACTTCCAACCCACAGCGATGAGTTCCTTCGATTTTGTAGAGATATCTTCTGTTGTTTGTATTTGAATAGAGTTGAGGGATTCAATGTGGTACGAACGGGCTTGAACTGGAATAATAATAGGTAATAATTGTCGCGATAGACTGGAATTTTTGGCACTAAGTACATCGTATTATTAGCTCGCAGTCAAGGCAAAGATTAACGGTTCGTTCTAAGCGAATTAATTAAGAGAGCGACAGCTGATTGTCAAAGAATTTGTTTCAGCTAAAGAAACTGACAGTTAAATTAAGCGCTAAATGTCAAAGAACTTATTCAGCTCAGAAAGTGTTGGCTGAATAAAATTCTAAATGCCGTAGCGTCTAAAAACATAGTAAGGAATGCTAGCTTACTGCTATTTATTATCTTCCTGAAAAAAGTGTAACTCCCAGATTAAATATATAAATAGTTTCGCTACCTAATCCTTTAGACTATAAATGAATTGAGAATGCGAGTAAGACCTTTATTTCACAAAATAATCTAAATACTGCTAGTACTTTTTCTGGCCGATATATTCTCAAAGCGAATAAAATAATTAAAAGTTATGACTTGCCATGTAGTTTTCCAGGTTGAATAGCAAAGCAGTATTCATGAAAAGTCCTGAAACGTCTAACTTTCTGAAACATTTCGATATTCACACAGAAACTTATATTATCAGTCACTACTTGCCAGCATTCTATTTATTTATTGCAAAAGAAGCCAACAAAAGAAGCGTTTTCAAAATATTTGCTTTGTTGGAAAAACTGGACTAAAACAAAAACCAAGCACAACAAAATCATAATGGCAACAATAAAGAAGTGAAGAACTATACAGTCAATATACTAGTAAACAAAGTGAAGGAATTTCAACTGTTTTGAACCACAATAGGAGACTAAATGTTATGGTTGTAAGAAACACGAAAAATAAAAAAAATAGTAAAGATGTTGCAATAAATAAATCCAAACCTGTTAACCCAGGGTGAGCTATACAATATATGATGAGTATACGACGCCATGTAAAGAACTTGATCAATTAACAAAGGAAAATGCTTTCAAAACCGGATGTAATGTAAAGGATGGAAATTTTTCGACATGTGAACTTTATACCCTTGCTAGATATTTGGCTGAGCTTTCTCGAACACTATCACTGCGACATCTATTTAATATACAATAGAATCCAGTAGTATAACGCCGCTTCGAAATGTCTGAGGAAGCTTCTCGAAAATGAAATAGAAACTGAAATTAACTCGAAGGTGTAATTCTCATAAAAAAAATAGTTTGTATTGTATACAACAACTATTTCAGTTGTAAGAGGTCGTTTCTCTTTGAATGGTGAAAAAAGGGCTAATTAGGCTACTCAAAAATAACTAATTTTCGAAAATGTTATAAAACTTAAACTAATGAGCTTTTTAAGTCAGAACAGAAGTACCGACATTGGAAAAAAAAGCTTGAAAAATGTTCTTGTGGCTATCTTCGATTCTCCAACAAGTGTTAGAGAGTAATGATTCGAACTAACTATTACAGTTGTTCAAACTGACAAATTTTGCATTGTCATTTCTAACAGTTTCTTCTCATTTGAGCTATTCACAGTTGTGTTTCTCAGAGCAGTTAAATTTATGTAAAATCAGTAAAGAAAAAATTAAAAAAAAAAATTGAGGAGTTACGCTTTTGTAATTGCTAATCGTTGAGTTCTTGTATTCAAAATTCAAAAACAGAACTCGAGATGCTCAAAAAATGTTTGACGGTTGCCTCGAGGAGTTTTCGGTTGCCACATAGCTGGAGACAATTTCAACTAGAGTATTTAAATGAAACTTGTGTGCTTGAACTATATGTAAGTATTTGTGAGTCATCAGTGAAGGCTTTTTCCATAGAATTTTCAGCGCCATTTTCGAATTTAATTATTTAGTGCTGCGCATGCCAGTCTTAGCTGCCGCATACGCTCTTAATGCCGGCCAAAGTTGATTCGAATAGAGTGGCTTGCAATGGTTGCTTCGCTGCAATATCGCGCCGTTATTCTCTAGGCTATTTTTACAATGCCATTCGCAAAGGTACCAAACACCCACTCTTTGGCGCAACCAAAACTTCAGCTCCACTGTTGCGCGTTGTAATGCCAGCTCAGCGCTTTCTAAAATGAGAATTTCAGCTAAAGTGCCTAAGCCAAAAAGTGGACCGCCGTATTAATTGTTGTTGTAGTTGTTGTCAACATTGTCGGCACCCATTTCAGGCAACAGCGCCGTAGTCGGCTTTGCCAGCGACGCGCGGCCTAAGTCCATCCCTTCATGCCGCGGAAGGTCTGTTACTTTGGTAGGTCGGCTAGTCGGCTGACTCGTCCAAGAATAACTTAGTCAGCTCAAGCTAAGCAAAGTCGTGTTGTTGCCTTGTCTGGTATGTCGGCTTTTGCGTCACACAGCCAAGTGCTGCTATGGGCAAAAGCAACGCGAATAATTTACAACAGTTAACATATATGCATATATGTATGTATGTATGTGTGTGTAAGTGTGGCATATGTTAATCGCGATGTGTGCTGCAGGCATGCACAAAATACACAAACAAATTGGCACAAACGTATGCGTCTATGCCGTTGGTATGTCTGTCTGCCTGTCTGTGCTGGGGTTCGTCTACCCCGCGTTCGCGTTGCGATTTTATAGCTCAACGGACTCACATGCCGCCAGCATGCGCATAGGCTTTTGAACTTTTCGTCGTTCGTCGTTCGTCGCTGTTGTGGTCTGCTCACATGCCTGCTTTTATATACTTTTGTAAATATGTTTATCAAAATATACTAAACACTGCAAATGTGCATATGCACACATAATTACAAAAACAAATGCATGTTTATATCAATGTGTGTCAGCATTTGTGCTTCTGTGTCTATCCGTCCGCCGGTGTGCTGTGTGTTTGGGTGCCGGCGCAGCCGACCATAACCTAACACAACTTTACAACTTCAACACTCAAGCTTTTACGATGGTTGTGCATTTTGCGGCATTTGGTGGCAACAAGAAAAAATATAAAGATTAAATAAATAAAAAAATAATAATGCCGAACGATTAAAAGGGCATTTTTATTGTTTTGTGACATTTTGCTTTTCTTTTGTTGTTGTCTGGTTTTTTATTTAGTTTATATATTTGCCATAATTTTGCTGTTCATTATTTTTATGCGATTCCTTTTAGTCGCTTAACATTCGCCGTGGGCGTTAAATTGTAGTGTGTCTGCACACACACACACACACATTCATGCTATGTATGTAAAATCACAATAAAGAGTTGTTGACACACATTTTTACACACATACATGCGAGCGCTTAGCATATTTTAAGGCGATTAAGCAGGTGTTTCGTTTAAATAATTTCTGCTTATTTAATTATGCAAAACAAAACAAAAAATCATATAAAAATGCCCATGCAAACATTAAAGGAATTATAGAAGCATATATATGATCATAAACAGTTTAATGCGCTTTAAATATAGCGATGCTTAAAGTTTGGGTTAAGTATCGTCGGCATCAAGTCACGGCAGTAAGCCGTAATAATAAATTTGTATGCGTATATAAGTATAGGTAATAAAAAGAAAAAAACCGTTAACTTCGGCTACAACGAATACACCGTTGTTTTAATACCCTTCACAGGTGAATTTCTTATAGTATAATAAAAGGGTAAAAAAAATTTATATATCTTGATTTTGATCGGTAGGTTTGTATGGCAGCCATATTCTATAGTGGTCTAATCTAAACAATTATGATAAACAAATATGATTATGATCGGTCAGTCTGTACGTATATATATAGCTGCCATATATGCTACAGTGGTCGGATATCGGTGTTAAATTATGTTTTTTTGTGGAGGAAAGAACGTGTGCAATATTTTAGGGTGCTATCGCAATAGCTGTGGCATTGCTTAGCAGAGTTGCAAATAATGCATTAAAAAAATAAATGTATTAACATTGGAATTAAATTTTTTTTGTATATTTTGTAATCCCAAATGGGGATTAAAAGTTTTTTTTTAATTTAGGGATTACAAAATTACAAAAAAAAATGTTTTATTCCACATACCGGAATATAAATTTAAAACTACAGGATTGAAAAACAAAATAAGTAAAATTTTAATTCCAAGCATAGGTATAATAAAAAATTTAGAAAATAATTTGTTTTAGAATTAACATGTTTTCGCGTTTTCCCAAACATTTGGGATTAAAAAATGAAAATTAACTTCTAATCACAATATTGAGATTAAAACATGAACATATTTTTAATCCCAACATCGAGATTGTAAAATAAATTTTTGTTCCGAAAACTTTTTTTAATCACAAAATTCACAACCCTGCTGCTTATCCTGTTATTTTCAATAAGCTCTATAACCTTATATAGAAACACGGAAGCATAAAAGTAAAGCTAAGGGCAGCGAAAAAATTATTGTCTTGGTTTTGGGGTCTGTATATTAAGGTGGAGCGAAAAAATTTTTTTTTTGATTACCTTGAGGGTAAAATTTGTAGATTATAAAAAATTAAAATTTTTGGAAAAAAAAATTTTTAACATCTCACTTTTAAAGTAAAGTTCGAGTTAAAAATTTTATTTTGTAAAAAAAATTTGATAAGTGTTCTGTAAGCTGAGGAGAGTCCTCTTTCGGGACAATTAAAAGTTATCAACTTAAAAAAAATTTTTGTGGTCATTATTGGAGTCTTAAAAAAATGTCTTAAACGACAACATGCTTTGCGTAAGCGTTAAAAAAAAAGAGTTTTGAGTCAAAAACCGTCAAGTTCGGTAACTTTTATATAAAAATGTAGAGTTTAAACAAAAAAATTTTTTTTTTTGTCCAAAAAGAATTATAACTCGAAATTTACTTCCTACTACTATTTTGTTTTTTCCAAAAATTTTATTTGTTTATAATCTACAAATTTTACCCTAAGGCTAGGCAACAAAAAAAATGTCTTTATCATATTATTTATATTATTTTGCATATATGTAAACAAGTATCCATAATATTCGGCACTGGAAAAAAAAATTGTTCAAAGAATGTTTCTCCATAAGATTTTGAGAATGTATCTGCCAATGCTTTTAGTGCTGCCATTCTGAATTTGCGAATCTATAATATACAAATATAACCATAAGTATAGGAGATTAGTGCAAAAAGTATTATTGTACTATAAAACAATACAGTTATATGAAGGGTGAACGCGCTTATTACACAATTTTGTGCTTATTATCTTGTTCCATCTGTGGGAGTGAAGTGTATAGATTTTTACTTTGCAATGGCACCAATGTAATTTCTGATAAGAAAAATTAGTAAGTGACTACACTTTTGTAAAAATATTGTTATATTGTAATTCGGAGCCAAAAATTGATGGCTTATAGCATTCAGTTATTGAATATTAGTGTATATGTAAATAACTCTATACTTAAAATATATTTTCATTGTAACTAATTATCTGCCTTATTTTTATTTACAGCAAAACAAACACCGGAGGACATTAATGAGGTATGTTATAATATTTATTTTTTTAATATGTTATTAATGCTTTACTCTATCAAAAACAATTTTTTTTTATTTCTAATGAAGTGTATTGAGTATTAGTTTAGGTAGCTTTGATGGTTTTGGGATTTCTCTGGCATGCTATTTTTATAAAAAATAATTTAAGGTGGAGCTATTTGACCAAATATTAGAAAAATTATAGGAAGATTTGTATATACATGTAACTGAAGGTATAGTGAAGCTTGATTCTTATATAAATTTCTTTTCATAATATCTATACCTCTACCACCACTTGCATAAGAAATGTTGGGATCTCTTTTGAAAAATAACCTAAAACTATTTTTTTATATAAATTTAAATATTATTTAAAAATTTCAATGCTTGTTGCTGCTGATTTGAAATGCTTTTTTGTGATTGAAGCCCTGTGTTTATTGTGTTATGCAATTTTTTTGAAATTTAAAGTAAATCTCTTAAGCCTGCCAATCTTCGTTAGGGAAGATTGATTTAAAAGCAAACATTTTATTTTAATCTTTAAAAGGGATTATCGAAATATATACTGGAACTGGATTTTATCGCATACAACATTTATTTCAAACAACAGAATATTTGGTAACTGCCGTATATATAAATTTGGATATATATTCATTAAAATAAAAACAATCAAAATGGCGTCCTAATTGGTAAAAATTCTGAAGATACTTAAAAATCTAGCAAAGCCAATAATTTCCTCACAATATAGTTTATAGCCACCAATGCCCTAATGTCTCTTACATAACACAAATAAATAATATCACTTAATGGCAATCTTTCCATTTGTCATTTGCACATCCATACATACAAACATACGGACATAAATGCAGATAATTAAGATGCCAAACGATGCAACGATGCAAAATAAATTATTGAACAATGCAAAAGGCAGACGACATCAGTAGTGGCAAGATAATGGCAGCAAGGCAGATAGACAGATTGCCAGTTGCAAAAACATGAAAGGAAGTACACAACCACACACACACACCACATGTAACTGGAATGCTACGAGCGGTAGTGAGACACAAGGGAAAGCCAATCGTTTATTCATACACAAAAGTGTGGACAAGGGGGCAGCATTTTGCGGAGTGCTGGCTAAGGTAGCCAGATATGAAGAGTACACAGCAAAGTGATGATAATTTTTCTTTTTGTTAAATAAATAATGAATAAATAAGTCAGAATAAAAGCACAAGCTGCCAGTAGGCGCACCTTTTGCATACATTTATATACATAAAAACAAAATGAAAAATAAAATAAAATATAAAAATATATAAATAAAAATTTAGTAGATATGTATGTATATATAAAGAAATGAGCTCGCCAGATAAGATGCAAATATATGTGACTGAGGACACTGCTGAATAATGAGACGAACAGCGAAGACGGAAGCGCACTAAAGGGAAGCAATGTCACGGAGCGTCATGCATACGAATGTTTTTGTGAAAATATGCGCCAGTAGAAGCTTATGAAAGATAAAAATTATATATCCGCTTATGTATACATATATATATATATATATATGCATCTGTAACACCACCCACAAGCGTCAGATTGCATTTCCGGCAACTCGTTTCCAGCAATTGCTGCTGCTTCCACTTGAACTTGCCAATTATATTTGAATAAGATATTAAAAATGAGTGGTAAAACAATATAAAAAGTAAATAAATTAAAATATTTTTTATATATGTATGTAGCAGTTCAGAGAAGAAAATGATATTGTCAATAAATATTTAATAAGCCAGTGGTTAATTTAGAATGAAGTGGAATTAAAACACAGCATTAAGGGATATAAAGCCAAAGCTATGAAAGCATGAATAATTCAAAATAAAAAGCATTGCAAAATTTTACTCAAACAGTTCTAAAAAATGTATTATTTATCAGAAAAGTACATTGCAAATAATAGTAAATGCCTTCGTTTATAGTTTACAGCCACTTGAAAGTCAGCAAAAACGCGTTTTTTTATGATTTTGTGTTAGAGGCGTAATTTCATTTAATAAATAAATTTAAAAAAATGCACATTTACAAAAAAAAAAAAATTTTAATTCTCTTGTTCCCGTGGTCGATTTACAGGAGTACCTCCGAAAAAGATGTTAGCTAATGAAAAAGATTTTACAGCTCAAAATTAACTGAAATGCAAAACCAAAAAATTTGTTAAAAAAATAGATCAATACAGCTAATAATCGAGTGTCTAGTCAAAATTTTTATGCTTGACAAAATGGCGGCCTTCCGAAAAAAGTAGGTTTTTGTAAAAAAATTTACCCTTCAGAGCGGCTTGAAAACCCGAAATTATTGTCAAAAATCTTATTCAATCGATAATACCCGAAAAATATTCAAGAAAGTCGTGTGAAAAATTCAAGCCGATGAATACAGCCAATTAGGATAAATTTACGTCATCGAGCCCCAAAAGAGCGTTGCAACCGTTTATGGGAGTCCATTACAGTTACTTAAAAAATCTTACAAATATTCGGATAAACTTCAAATTTGGAGAATATTTTCAAATATAGGTACATTCGAAATAAGCCTAAAATAGATATCTGCATATATATACCAGTGTAACCATTTTTTATATATCGACGAAAAATTAAATAGAGCAGAAGAGTATAAAGGGAGAATACGGCATCTATACAACTTTTTTCTTGATATTTTTAAGGCTTTTTGAATGATATTTTTTTTCAAACAAATATTTTTTAATTATATTTTTTTGATACCGAGACTTCTCAAAACTTTTCCGTAATAGCTGGATAGATTAAAATATATGTTATCATTTCCTAGCCGAAAGAGTGGTTTGTTTTAACTACTTAATCACATAATTTTGAAATATATATCATATTCATACTAAACAAATCTACTTTTAATGTTAAATAACGGATTAACTGATCCTGAAATTCAAATCTGGCACTCATTTAGAATCCTTCAAGGTTCCAAAGTTCCGAAACCACTGCCAGAAAAAATATTAGTCAGCAATAACACAGAAACAATTAAATAAGACAAACGCAAACAATAAAATGAAAATTTTTTGGAAAAATGATGGGTTGTTTTTGCTTTTTGCTCGATATACTGTTATCAGGAATGCTCCTTGTTTCTTTAACTCCTCGGAAATATTTATTGAAGGTATGCCAAGTCGGTCTCCGTGACCGTGAAACGATGCCTTGTCTTTTTTCTTTGCCAAAAGTGACAAAATTTCTTTTCTTTTCCTTGGTCTATGATGCGTACTGGACTTTTCATGCAGTCAAGGACTGTCAACTCGGCAACTGTTTTCTGTCACTGAAACAACAAAAGATTCACAGCTTCCTCCAAATTACGCTTAAATAGCGTCAAACACCGCCGTAAGGTGTTCCCACGGAGGCGCTTGTTGTCCGAAGTGAGCAAAAATTCTCGTGTCCAATATTTTATGCACGATATGACCCACACAGCCTTTGTAGATGCCTACTATCTCAGCTATACCTAACCACATGATCTATTTGAGTATCGCCACAAAATTTCTATGCTATTTTCTCCTTTACTTTAGATGCTTTTATAAGCAAATTCTTTTGCAAATTGCCCATGGCTCCCAAAAATTATGACAAGAAATTTACTACCCTATTGTGGACAATAAAAACCTAAAAGGCATTTATGTAATTAGTAGGGTGAATAGTGGCTACATTGTAAATAAGAAACATCAACACACACACACACATCATACACTGTAGGGATTATGTTCCCGTGTAGTTGCACCATTTATTATTGTGGAAAGTCAAATAAAGCTCAACTGAGATAGGCAAGTGTTGTGAGGATAGTGAAAGACTTTTGCTCCAGTATGCAACTATTAGCAGTTACACATTTACAACGCACCGCAAAGCCAAGCATTAGTAGGCAATCGAAGCTACTTAGCCGAGAAACGCATGCCGATGCAGTCGGGCGCGGTGCAAGGCATCACTATGCACCCTTGAGCAAAGGCTGCGATAACAAAAGTTGTATAAATAGATTTTTATATATTTATATATGTATGTGCGGAACGCAAAAATAACAACAGAAAATGAGGAGAAACAAATGTCAGCAGAAATAAGCAGAGGTGATTGCAAGTTTGCGAATATAAATGTTGCTTATAAATGCTTGTAGATATGCAAGTATGTGTGTATGTATGTGTATATACGTGCATGGGCTAGTGCAAATGCATAACAATTTTAGCGTGTGTGTGTGTGTGTGTGAATGAGTGCTTTTCGTTGTCACTGTATGGCGGGGAAGTGGCCAACTCTGTCACACACACACACACATACATACATACATGCATATGCACAAAGTGTATGTATTGACATACCTGTACCAGTTTTCTACGAAAGTATTCGCAAAAATTCTCTGCATGTATGTGCGTGTGTGTGTGTGTTTAAGTTATAACTGTGTGCCGTAAAAGTATCTGCAAGTTTAGCTCAACTAAAAGCTACCAATACAAAGTTAAAACACCACACATGCTTGTATGTGTGTGGCGCAGAGATGCTGCCGCTCATTTCTGCAAGCGCTCCGTTGCTTTTCGCTCTTTCAATGCCAATCGATGCGCTGCCACAACTTTGGTAGCTCGCAGTACTCACCGGTGCTTTCGCAAGCTTGTTGTTGCTGTTTCTGCGAATGCTGCCGCTGATGCTGCGTCCGTTTGGTGCCGCTGCTGCCAACGTTGCTGCACGTTTATGTCATTGACCTTTGAAATTGCATCTTGTCTGCCGCATACAAGCTACCTAGCAGCTACGGCGCGCACATATTTGCGCTCGTATGTACTACATAAGCTTCCGCGCATACAAGCATACACACACACATGCATGTGCATATATATGTATGCGTATACTGTTAAGCATACAGTGGCATTTATATGCGAGGTTGCGAGTAGCTGCTGGCTGCTGTGGCACTTTGCATCTGGAATACGCGCAGCTGTGCTCTGCAAATATCACTTTTGGCCCCCTTTACCCCTTGCAACTCTTTCGCTTCAACGTACGCGTAATTGTGTG